ATCAGCAGGATTGACAATTGAACTGCTAGGCCCTCTGCTTTGCACCTCGTTTCTGGACATGGTCTCTACTCTCGATTGAAGGGCTGAGGGCGTTAACATGTCGGCCGTCTGCAACCTCGTACGTGCCTGGCCCTAATGCCCGAGTAATTATGATGGGGCGCGATAATGCTTGCCGCCCTTTACGTGTATGCTTTTCCTTTATCCGGACGAACGTCCCGGAACGCAACGGTATATATTGCTTTTCGTAATAAGTATGATAACGTCGGCGACGCTGCAGTTAGTGGGGATCGCTGTTTTCTGTAGATGAAATAGTTTCGTTGAACTTCGTGAATAACTTCCTAGTGAACATTAGCTCCCCTGGCTTGCGATCGGTCGCTCCTTGGTGCGACGTTCTGTGCGTAAACAAAACCTCGACTACGGCATCTTCCTACGCATGCCGGACAAACGTACTGTCTGTATACTTTCCTTTAGCAGCGATTTGTGCGCTCAATCATTCCGTTGGCAGCTTGTTTGTCCGGGGTAATTTGTACGTGTTTCACCACTTGAAGTTGTAGGAAATGTCGGATCTCGTAGTTTGTGAATAGCGGTCCGTTATTCATCACAATTTTTTTCGGGATGCTTAAATCTGCAAACAGATACTTCAGCCAGCTTATAACGGTTGAAGTGTTCACATCGCCACAAAGGTGAATCTCAGGTCACTGTAGAAGCACGTGGCTACTAAACAATTTCTCTGGTGATGCGGTGCAGAATGGAATGGTCCCAAGATATCAATCGCCACCCTGGACCAAGTTTTCATTGGATGCATGAGAGGTTGGATGGGTGCATCGATTAGCTTAGCGCTCTTGTCTGCGTTCTGACAAGCATCGCAAGACCGGACCTACGCCTCTACCATTTTAGTCATTTTCAGCCAACAAAAGTGTTCTTGCAGTCAGCGCTTCGTTCGTACGGTACGCGGATGTCCCTCATGTGCACAGTGGATAATTTTTGACCTTAGTCTCTGTGGAGCCGCGAATCTCGATCCTCGCATAAGGCAACCATCAATGACCTCTAACTCGTGTCGTAAAACAAAAACGCCGTAGTCCGCCACAGCTTCGTGCAGCGAGGCCAGCTTAGAAAGAGGTACCGGAAACGACTTGTACCTTTGAGTCACTTTGGTTAGCTTCTTGAAGCTCTTGCTTAGTGACGGCGGCAAGCTCACTTGAATGTAAGACGGAAACCATGACTTTTTCTTCGTCGTCCTCATTCTTATCGGAATCGTCCTTTGGAAGACGTGATAAGCCATCTGCCATATGGTTTTCGGAGCTGGGGCGGAATATAATTTGAAAATCATAATTCAGTGAATGACCTTACCAGTGGTTAATCCGCACTGGCTTGTGACCATTGGTTCCTCGACTGAGGAGCGTAGTTAGAGCAGCGTGATCTGTATGCAGTGTAAACCTCCGACCAAACAGAAATAGGTGCCATTTTTCACTGGCCCAGACACAGGCGAGGGCCTTCTTTTTCATCGACGGAGTATGAAACTTCGGCAGGGGATAATTTACTGAGTATATGCAATCACTTTTTCCTCTGTGTTCTGCATCTGTGACAGGACCGCTCCAAAACCGATGTTTGACACATCCGTCGAGACGAACGTAAGGCGGTTTTCATCGGAAATGGCCAGCAGTGGTGTAAAGACGAGGTATCTTTTATTTTCTTTAAAGGCAGACTGCTGTTCAGAGCCCCAGTCGAAGGTGGCATTTTCATTTGTCAGCATTCTCAAGCGCTCCGCTAGGGTAGCAAAATCGGGCAAATGGCGTAAGTCGTACGAGCATAGATCAAGATAGTGCTTAACCATAGATGCATTCTTCGGTATGGGGGCTTCTGTGCTAGCCGGACTATTAGCGGCGCATGGTCAGATTCCACCGGATGATAAGATGTACCCAAGGAATTCGACTTCAGTAGCACAAAATTCACTGGTGTTCCCGCGCGCAGGTTCAGATTCTGCCCGCGGCGCCAATGGTGTGTCCCAATACGCACACCAGGCTTCTGCGCAAGCGGGGTCTTGAATCACTACAGGCGGAACCCAGTAACTAAAACAGGACACGGGGCGGTCACGCTGTTGTCACTGTTCACAAAAAGTGAGTCAGGTAAGGTACAAGTGCAATAACCTTGATATTGTTTCACCGATGACGCTCATCCAATCCTTTGCAGGCTACGGTGCGGGATTGACATAGCTCCAGTCATGTAGGTGCTACAACAGAAACTATGTTGTGTGGTACAGTCCCACAGACAAAGGACGATGAAGTTGAAGAGTCGTAGCTCTCATTCTTGAATATACTTGTGGTAAGGAAATCTTTCTGTATCACGGTACGTCCCAAGCATTGGTGGTCCAAACGCGGGAATACTGGCTGACGTGAATAGTGTGGTTTATTCGTCCACGTGTCTACGAGTTGTGATTGTACGGAGGGGTATCTACACTATCTTCCAGACTGGGCTTCCTAAGCTCCCGAGTCCGGACCTGAAAGTCATCCTCTTTATATCCCTCTCTATGGTTGGATTTCATACTTCATTTCTCTTATTTCGTTTCCAACCTCCATCTATCCATTAGCCACATTTACCCACTTATGCTAACACGTCCATCTCACTTTCCTTTACTCTTTTTTTCTCCGCTTCGAACACCATGTGATTAATCCTGTCTCTTCCTACGCTTTCCCCGTTACCACTTGTTCTTAAATTCTCTGTTAGTCATATCCTTTTGGATTTATAGACTGTGCACTTAGTTCTCTGTTGACGCCGGACACAATCCTCACATCACATGCTCATATTTATTTATTCAGCGGTGATGCTGTTGCTCGGGTTACCGTCGCGCTCGCTGTTTCCTGGCAGTAAAAATAAGACCATAGTTAAATACAATTCAAAAACTTTGACAATGTTAGTCGTTCTCAATACTGCTCTCCACGACCGGTTTCGTCCATTTTTGGACTCATCGGGCAGAGGTAATCGTAGCTGGGAGCGGAATCTTAGACGTGGTGATTGATGGCTGACAGTTGGATCACTGGCCACTAGGCCTCGCGACCAACGCTTGATACAGCGGTTTTGCATGCTCATCGTTGGGTTTTCGGAGAGCCTGGGGTGCGATTGGATCGCGAAATACAGTTTCACTTGGAACCACTGTTTCATTTGACTTAAATCTTGCCAATTGCGATCACCGGAGGTGTATCCAAAGTGAAGAGTTCCTGTTTCTTCCTTCTTTGGTCTCACTCGACTGAGGTAGCCGTAGCTAAGATCGGAACTTTAGTCGCAGTGGTCGACGTCTGGCTCCGCGATTGCCAGGCCACGGAGTCTGGGTTACTGTTTCAGTTATCGTACTCATGCAGATTTACTTCAGATTAAGCTGTGGTTCTAATTGACCTTGTGTGTCGCAGCGCAAGCGTTCGTGTCTGCTTCAAAAACACGATAGTATAAAGCCGTGTGCTTTACTTCTACAAAGAGTAACCAAAGGGAGCGTGACATCATATGTAAGCCCCACCAATTTCTCGATCGATCCATGTCGAATCCGGTGAATAAAACAGGTGTGATCGATTCCTGGGTCCGTCTCGTGAAAGGCGCTCCCACCAGCCTGGGACAGTCCTTCGATTAGTTTCTTCATCCATTCTCGCCATCTCATTGGTTCTCTTTTCAGAGAATTTTAACCAACTGTAGCTGCCGCTACAGTGAACAACACACCAGCGTAGAAAACGGTGCAACCTTCAGCTCGCAACAGTGGACTACGCGGGGAGGTTCTTTTGAACTTACCTGTCGCGCCATACACTGCGATGTAAAAATATTAAAGCCACTAGATACACCTCTCTTGAAATTCTCCGCTGTAAATGGCATCAAGTGTGTTCGACTAGCTCTAAACTTTTCTTCATTTGAAGGAACCTACTCGTGGTCGGTCGTTTACGCGTTTTATGCTCTTCCATCACTTTACGAACTCTTTTCGATTGATGATGGCTGGGCTCTAGGTTAACTTACCGACGAAGATTGCTCGCATCCATACCCACTCATCGTGATGGACCGCTGTTTCATTCTTTCGGGAGTCGTGAGATGTGCTCATTCCATCTGCTCCCTGTAAGATTTGAGCTCGGGATCAAACTTTCTTACGAGCCCACGGTTAGAATCATGCTACTTCATGCTTAAGCAGAGAGAGCTTTGTCTTCGATACTTTCAGTTTCACGTGCACATGTGAGCTGCCGTAAAATAACACATGTGCAATGTTTGCAAACATGGACATTGCTGTCGATGTCTCAGTGATTTTCGCGCCATATCCTGTGTGGTGTTGCAATTAGGACTAATCTTTTGCCACGAATGTTACATAATGAACTAACCGTCAATTGAGCCATCACAGACCTCGCTTCTGGCCTATCTCAGAATGATAAATGGCTTCCGTTTCGTCTCCAGATATCTGTGGCTGTCCTCATTCCGCTAGAACAACCGCTACGTGAACATTATATCCCTCCGTCCCTTTTGGCCACAGGCGGCGCGTGACCTTTCAGAGTTTGACCGATTGATTCACTCAGCCAACTCGCACACCTTATTACCCGTTCACAATCTTTGCCGTTTATTATTCGACTGATTCTGCTTTCTTGAACATCGTTCCAGAATCATTTAATTATATATACTTTCCTGGGAACTTGGTCAAAGGCTAGCGGCTGGATATGTCCGTTTCTTGTTCTCCACGTCATCGCGACTAGCGCATTTTGTTCTTCTAACCACAACCCAGTTATCATCCTGTGTGTGTTCCCATAGACTTACGCGAGCATTTGTTACTTTTTTTCAGCGGTTGCTGCACACTTCTGAACCAATGACCTTGCATATTCTGAATCACCGGCGTGTGTCTCATCTATGAAGAAGCCCAAGCACCTGTGTAAGTTGAATTAGACTCCTCATTCTTTCTACTTTCAAATGACTTCTGTGTCGACCCGTTACTCCGCTCTGATAACTACCAACCAAAAACTTTTTGTCCGTTTTTCGCTCTCATTATGAATGGTAGTCACAGTACCCAGTCTGATGTGGAGCACTATCTCATCGTTCGTTTATTTTTGTCTTGGCTATCAGTTGTAATCTTTCGGTTATTTTTCCTTCTTCACTTATCCGCACGCCGTGCGATTATTGGATGTACCCATGCGATCCTGAGACGGAGCAAACATGATGCTGGGCATCTTGATTTCAGATGTTTCGTCACCAGCCTAGTTGACTTCCTTTCTATAGGCGGGTTGTCGATTTCGTTGCGGATACCGGTACTTTCAAGGATACAAGTCGCTACGAATCCATTCTTTGTGTTGGCATCCGGTATCAAAACCGTCGTTTTATTCCGATTGATTGTTCATTGGGTTGCGCATTCATATTTGTATA